TAAAAGTAGATCAAATATGAATTTATAAAATTTTAGCGGACAAATTTGTCCGCTAATCTGGACGGTTTAAGGGATAGTATAGTGCTTACCGGAGATGATGTATCAGATTCATAATTATATCAATAATAATAAAATTGGCTTTATTTTTGGTGTATTGTAACGAATTTCTATTTCGAATTTGATTTTATTTACATAATTGATTAATGTACTCCGGGAAATTTATGATTTCTATGTTTTCATTTGACATTTATTCTTACTATTGATAAAACCTAAAGGAGAAAAGAATTTTAAGGCTTTTTACTAAACTGAAATATTTCGTATTCTTCCACTGAAAAATATGAGATGCCTCTAGAATCATATGTAGTTCCATCTCTAATTCGTTTTTCATATGAATTTAAACGGTTCCAACATAGATTTTGTGAATTATAAATGACTAAATCACTGCCACAAAAACCTTGACCGAAAGCTGGACCACACCTAGGATGGCAATAAATTGCATATTGTGGGGTTTTCACACGACTTAAAATAGAATTTTGAATAGTACCATTTTTCAACGAAAAAATAAAGCTCTCGTTGCAATTCCCATATACCGCACTATCATTAATCGGTTTATCCCATCCAATAGGATTATACCCGCCAAGAATTTCATCAGTGCCATTAACCTTCACAATTACAACAACATTTGTTTTCTTATTGCATAACTTCCAAAATGAATCGATGGTAAAACCATCTCTGGTTTCACGAAGAAGTAGTTTAAATTCATATGGATTATCTATTACAGAATATTCTCTTTTATCAATCCATGAAGCAACCTCAGCTGCGTGTGCTTCATTAATAATTACTGAAAATGGCTCTGTCGTTCTGGGCGGTAATGTTTGTTTTAAAATCGTTCGAGGTTGAAGAATTACCGATGATATCGGTCGATTTGGAGATAAAGATCTTTTAAAAATATCATCCCATAGATTTTTATCAAGCATTTGTTGATAAAGATATAAATTATCAATAATATCATCTCCAGATATTTGGAAATAACGGATATGAGGTAAACAATTTTGTAAAGTAGTTTTCATAGTTAAAAAATTTTCATTAGACCAGTTTTTAGGATCAGATGGCAAGTCTGGATTTTGTGCAATTCCCCATTTAATTATATATTTCCAAATTTTTACTTCTTCCATTTGTAAATCATCTCGTTTAATAAGCGAGACTAATGCATTTTCTTGAATAG